AGGAAGAAAGAAAGAAAGAAAGAAAGAAAGAAAGAAAGAAAGAAAGAAAGAAAGAAAGAAAGAAAGAAAGAAAGAAAGAAAGGTGTATTCATCTCAGATGTCAATTTTGGGATTGGGTCTTTACATTTGGGGAATCTCTAAATTTGGGAATTTAAGTTTTTTCAACTTTTTAAAAAGAATAGAAAAATGATAGATAAGACATTAGAAATGGTTCACAATTTTAAAATAGATGATAGGTATAGGTATTTAATAGGTTGTTATATTGCACATTGATGTCCTCAGTGTAGTTTTCAGACTATAGATATGAGCATATAAAATTGGTCAAAGCAAAAAATTTAAGCATTAACTTCTACTGTTTAAAAACTGATAGAAATTAGTAGTTCAATCATCTTAACTATCCTGTGTATATACATACATGACTTTTTCCCCTTCCTTCTTTTCTCCCTTCAGTCATCCAAATTATTTACTGCTTATGTTTAGTGTTTTTTTTTCTTTTTACTATAGCTATTGTACATTTCAGATTGTATTTACTCTTTCAGGTTCTATGTGGGTCTGATTTATTTCACCTATGAGTATAGCCTTTAATTGCATCCATTTAACTACAGAAGCCTTAAGTTTATCTTTCTTTATAGCTAAGTAATACTTCACTGTATAAAAGTACCATATCATTCTTACCTATTTCTCAGTTGATGGGCATATAGGTTGTTTCAAAGATTGAGCTATGACAAATTGTGGGGCTATAAACCTGGGTGGACATATATCACTGTGGTATGTTTTCAGTTCTTCTGGAAAAACACCCAGAAGCAGACTAGCTGGGTTGAATGGGACTTCTAATCCTAGTTTCCTAAGGAGTCTTCACACAGATTTCTATAGAGGTTTTACCAGTCTACACTACCACCAACAGCGCAGAACAGTTTCTTTTGCCTGACACCCCCTCCAGCATTTGTTATTAGTCGATTTCTTTACGATAACCATTATTTCTAGGGTAAGATGGAATCTCAGTACTGCTTTAATTTGCATTTCTCAAATGACTAGTGCTGTGGAACATTTTTTCATGTACTTATTTGTATTTCTTTCTCTGAGAAGTGTGTATTTATCTCAAATGCCCATTTGTGGATTGGGTCCTTGAATTTTGGGGGCCTGCATTTTTTCATTCTTTATATATTCTAGATAGAAGTCCTTTGAGTGACTGTTGATTAAGATTTTTTTTCCAATTTGTGATTTTTTTTGATGTGAGGTATCTTTTCAATAAAATGAAATCCCAGTTGTTGATTCTTTGAAGTACTTCCTGTGCAGTTTAGTTTTTGTTCATGAACTCTCTGCCTACCTCTTTGTATTTAAGAGTTCTACCTACTTTCTCTTCCAGTAGATTTAATGTTTCTTTTTAAAGGTTTAGAACTTTAATCCATTTTGAAATTAGCTTATTGCATGGTAATAGACCTGGATCTAGTTGGGGTTTTTGAAAGCCAATTTTTCCAGCACAATTTGTTAAAGAGGAGATTTTTTTTCCAATGAAAATATTTGGTTCCTTTGTCAAAGATAATGTGGCTGAGTGTGTTTGCAGATTAGTCTTCTAATCTATTCCACTGATCTTCAGGTCTGCTTTTTGCTATTGTAGGTATTTTCTGGTTTATAAAGAAGTTTAGGAATGATTTCTCTAGATCTGTGAGGTATGCTGATGTTAGTTTGATTAGAATTGCATTAAATCTGGGTAGCAATTTTGGGAGGATGGCCATTTTCATAATGTTCATTCTTCCTATCCATAGCAAGGAATATCTTTCCATTTTCTGAAATACTCTTTAGTTTCTTTTGTCAGAATAAGGGCCAGGGATATAACTCAGCAGCTTAAGCACCTGCCTGGCAAGCATAAGGTCCTGAATTCAAGGCCCAGTATGGAAGAAAAAAAAAAAAAGAGCCATGCTTTTTTTCAGAGTATTGTAAATTTCACTATATAGATCTTTTCCTTTGTTAGAATAATTCCTAAGTATTTATTTTTGGGGATGCTATTGTGATGGATATCATTTCTCTAATTTCTCTCTCAATGAGTTTTTTAAGAGAAAAAAGAAAAAAACAATAATAGAATTTCAAATAAGATAATAGGAGATTAACAATTCTTAATATATTCTGTGTTATCCTTAAATTAGTTGCACAGTGAACAAAATGCAATCATGCATAATCGATCAAACAATATAAGGAAAAACCTTTTTTTTCAATGAACTTAAAGAAGTCAGTAGTATAGCTATCTTAACTATCTTATGTATATACATATTTTTACCTTCTTTCTCCTTTCACCCATCCCAGTTCCTTTTGAGCAGCTTATTTCCTTCCATAAAATCTCTTGTAGACTTTGGGTCTATGTTCTAGATATAAGTCTTTTGCCTGAGGGACAATTGGATTTTAAAAAACCCCACTCTGTAAGTTTTTACACTCTGTTTGTGATGTCTTTTCCTGTGCAAAATCTTCTTAATAAGATGAGACTCCAGTTGCTGTCAAATTTCCCAAGTGTCTGAATTTTGTTCATGAAGTTGTTGTCCACACCTATGTCTTCAAGAGTTCTGCTTATTCTCTCTTCCAGTAAATTTAGTGTTTCTGTTTTAGTATTTAGATATTCAGCCTACTTTTGTTTTAATTTAGTGCATGGTGATAGACATAGGTCTAGTTTTAATACTCGGCATGTGGATAGGCTATTTTTAAAGTATTATCTATTAAAGAGACTATCTTTCTTCTAGTGAATATGTTCACCTCCTCTGTCAAAGAGAAGGTGGCTGAGTGTGTTTGTAGTTGTGTCTGCATCTTCTAATTTGTTCCATTGATCCTCAGGTCTGCTTTTTTGCCAGTACCATGCTGTTTTATCATAGGAGATTTGTAGCATAATTTCAAGTCAGGAATTGTAATGTTGCTACTTTGCCCTTGTTGTTAAGAATTGGTTTTGGTATTCTATGTCTTTCTGGTTCCAAATAAATCTTAGGAATGTTATCTCTAATTCTGTGAGTTATTCTTAATAGTATGTTAATTAGGATTACACTAAATCTGTGCAACAATTTTAGGAATATTTTTTTCACAATGTTGGTTCTTCCTATCCAAAGCAAGTGCTATCTTTCCATTTCCTGATATCCTCTTTGCTCGCTAATTTCAGAATACTGTAATTTCCAATGTAGAAATCTTTTACTTCCTTTGTTAGATTGATTCTGCAGTATTTTATATTTTGGATAATCTTGTGAAAAGTGCAGTTTCCCTAATTTCTTTCTCAGTGAGTTTGTTGTTTGTGAACAGGACTGCTATTGATTTTTGAATGTTGATTTTGTGTCCAGTTACACTACTAAATTTAGTTATTAAATTTAAAGACTTATGAGGTAAACAAACATAAATGATAAATAAATATATGAAAAATGTTATATGTGATTGGTTATTCAAGTGATACAAACTAAAAATCACTGAGACTTCATCTCACCCCATAAAGAATGGCATCTTAAAAAAATCAACTCATAATATGCTGGAGGGACTGCTGGGGAAAGGTCACACTTCTTCACTGTTGGTGGTAGTGTAGACTGGTACCATCACTTTGAAAATCAGTGTGCAGATTCCTCAAAAATCTAGGACTGGAGGTCCCATTCAACCTAAGTATTTCCCTTCTGGATATCTACCCAGAAGAATTAAAAATTTTACACCATAGCAATATTATTTGTACCCATATAATAGTAACATAATAGCACCTATGTTATAGCAACATAGTATGTCATAGCTAAATCTTGGAAACAACCTGAATGCCCATCAGGTTAGGAATGGCTGAAGAAGATGTGTTTCATTTCTTTTATAGAGTCAAGTACTACTCTTCAAAAGAAGGGTAAACTTGAGACATTTCTAGGTAAATGAATGCAATGAGAGATCTATTTATAAGTAAAATAAATTAAGACTCACATGTGTAAATATTGCATTGTCTCTCTGTTGTGAGAGACAATGCAATTTAAAATAGTAAATTAGGACTAAAATGTATAACAAATATTGTGAAATGTAAGAAACTGTTCAAAAGGAAAGAGGATGCTCACCTGGCAGGGGAGATCCCATAATCAAGAGGGTGGGTTTCCCAAGGTGAGGCCCATCCATTGCACTCTGGATTTGCTGACTCCTGCGATTTTCCCCAATGTGGGAAACTTGATTGTAGTATAATTTGTGATAGTGGTAGACTGTAATTGTGTTTTCCCCTGGAAAGGAAAAAAAGGAGGGAGGAGCTCTGGTGGAGAAAGGGGAAAGGCAGGAAAAGAAAAAATGATGTTAGCATTTTCTTTCCCTTTCACAATATCTATTATACTTTACGTAAGATAGCTAGGATAATTATACTACTAATTTCTACTGGTTTGTTGAAAGAACAGTTAATGCTTAATTCTATGATCAGTTTTGCATGTCTATATCTGGTAATATTAAAGATGACATTGAAGATAACAATATGTAATATAACAACCATCTCTGATTTCCTATCATCTTGATTTGAAAGTCTGTGTCATTTTTAATGTTTTTTATAATTTTTTTATTCTCTTTAAAATAAAAAAGGCTTTAAAAAGGATAAAATTGAAATAAAGTTTTGTACGTAGAGAGAGGAGAAAGGATTGAAGGGAGGAGAGGGGATTATAAAAAAAGAGGAATCAAAATATATCATGTAGTTGTATAAATTCCTTATGATGCATATGATCATTATGTATATCTAAAAATGTACCAATAAACTTAGATTTTAAAAAAAGAAGAAAGAAAGAAAGAAAGAAAGAAAGAAAGAAAGAAAGAAAGAAAGAAAGAAAGAAAGAAAATAGATTTATTATTGTCAAGGAGCTTGCTTTCTCCAAAACATAGGCAGTTATTATGTCCTCTTAAAGAGGATTTCAAAATTAGCTTCCTGTTGTAAAACACAAGCTACAATCTATTCTGTCACGTACTGGCAACAACCAAGAGCAGTAGCTCATCTTGAATTCAGGATGCTTAAGTTTTCTATTTAGATTAAATTGGAGCTCACTGGTCAATAGTCCTTGATGACAATGTGATGAAACTAGCGTTGCTTTCTGGGGGAATTATGCAGATGTACTTCCGTGGGAAGTAAAAAATCCATTAGAGTTGTGATCAGATTACAGTTGTTTCACTAGTGATATCTTAATTGGTGTTTAATTGATGGATAGAGAAAAGTCAAGGGCTGGTTTTATTAAAGAACCATAATTATCATAAACAATTTGTCATGAGAATAGAGCAAGTGCTTTGGAGGCACCTAAACCCAGTACCTTAACCTAGGTTAACCTAGAAGAGGGCAGGAAAGAACCTCTATAAACTCAATCTTCCCATGTGTGTATTGGGTTAATAAAGTACCTCTCTATGATTTACTCAAGATGGAAAAGATGGAATGGACGACCACCGCAAGGAAAGGCATTTTTTGCATTGCCATGTTAATAAATGCTGGTATATAAAAGTAATAAAAATCAGGATGACTCTTTCTACTATTGTGAAAATTTTTGCAGTCATGCTCCCATCATTTTTTTTTTCTGTGCTGCCACTTAAGTCTAAGTGGACAATGAAAGATTACTTCAGAACATCACTATACAGAAAAAAATGGGAATTCTCAGTGAAATTTTCTGTGGATTCCCTGACGTGAGCACAGAACATAGAACGGAGAAGATTTTATCTCCAAAGCTTCTAGGAAGGGCAAGACAAGGCAGCCAGTATTCATTCTCCAGATAGGGTAAATGGGTTTGCAGTGGTCACAAACACCACGTGAGAGGAGTATTGACCAGAGTAAATAGGGTGCAGGGAGGGGGTTGCAAAAGGCTGTTTCTGTAATGTCTCAGAACTTGCTCATCCTTCAGGAAGTGCTCTTCAGACAGCTTGGCTCTTCTGGAACTTTCTTATCAAAATCAATAAAGGGATGTGGTCTTGCAGCTTTGGGCAAGGCATAGGATCAAGATGTCAGGCAAGGATGAAAACACTGACCAAAAAAGAGTACCACCAGGCTTCCAGTCTAGGGAATTAGCAAAATGGCAAATACAGAACCAAGACACTCAGTGATAAGAAAGGTCAAAAAATATAAAATGTAATAATTTAACAATGTAGCAAACAAACAGTAAATAATAAGAACTAATAAAGTGTTGGTGAGGATATTAATTTCCTCTTTTCACCTGAGTACTTTTAAATCTGATGTTCGATATATAGAAATATATGTAAATATAGATATATGTGTATGCATAGAGAAATGTATACATGTGTAAATATATTTCTGAAAGCCAGAAGAAAATTGCTAGATTAAAAACCATGATGATGTAGTTGAAATCGATGGGAAAAAGAAATGAGAAGGGGCTAGAATAGATACATACCTACTTTCTCTTAGGTCAATGAGAAGAAAGGTTTATACTAATATTGTCTAGAAAAGCTATCATATCTACATTTTGTCTACATTATGAATAACTACTACAAAGACAGCAATGTGCAATGTATTAATTATGGTAACTGTCCTCCTAAACTGCTTTGAAACTCTTTCATTGCTATTTTATCATTTTTTCTCATTAAAATGAATAAAAAATTAATTAAATTAAAAAAGAAATGAAAAGGAAAATGTAGTATATGAAAAAATAAAGAAAACAATAAATGAACTGTAATAATAGATGAGCAAGGTTAATGATGGACATACATTGGCAATGCTACAGTTATCTGTAAAATGAGACAATATGAGAACTGTGCCATCCTAGGGAAAGCACACCAACTTTATTCCATCTCCAGGGCCTCCTGACCTGGCTGTTAAGAAAATGCCAGACACTAAAACATTCTGGAAAATGTTCTATACAAGTATTTTGAGATTGGAATTGAGGCATTTAGTAAAATGTAACAAATCTTATAAAAGGAAAGATTGTTCTGCAATTTTCCTTTATTGGAGTATCTTTTTCATCTTCTGGCATCAGGGTTATTCCACAAATTTACACTGGAGAAAATTGGATCTTCTTCTACTCTTTGGAAAGTTGGCATAAGAATGAAAATATTTGTCCTTTGACTATAGAGTAAAATTCTGTAGTAAAATAATGAGGCACTACGTTGTTTGTGAAGGTAGGTTTTTACGTAATGTGATTTATGCAATGATTATCAGGGCCTGCCAAGTAGCTCAGTGGATTAAAGTGCCTGCTCAGTGGATTAAAGGCAGATACAGGGATCAGACGTTCGATTCCTGGCCTGCCATACTGGCCCCACCCCCAAAGCACGCTGAGACCGGCAATTGTGACTGGGTGTGGCGGCGTGCACCTGTAATTCTTTTTTTATTTTATTTTATTGAGAAATAAATATGAATGATACAGTTTTAAAACTGATTAATAGGTCTCATTGCTATTTGTCTCTCAATAAAATTATGGAAAAAAATAAAGACATTTTAGAATCCTTTCATTTTTAAGTAGAAATATGTAAACTTTGCCAACTGACTTCTTGGGAGCTTCCAAAGAAATTTGTTAGACAAGAATAGTCAGTACTCTTCTATTTAAAATATTTGGGTTGGCCAGATAGCTCAGTGGACTAAGGCAGCTGCTTAGGCAGGCACAGCGACCAGGGTTTAATCTGGCATGCGGTGCTGGCCTCACCCCTGCGGCACACTAACATGGTGACTGAGAATGGGCTTGGTTGCACGCACCTGTAACCCCAGCGCTTGGGAGGCTGAAAACAGATGGATCACTACAAGTCCGATCTGTGTGGTGAGGCCCTTTAGACATTGTACTAAATAAATAAATGCTAGCACAGATTTTCATTGGGTTGTATTTATCAAGAGCCAGTCAGCAGGACTATTTATTGTTTCCTTGTTAGGCCTTCTGCTTATCTTGATGCCTTTATAATTATTTAATACAATGCAAAGAAAATGAATATTGATGACTGCTGTCATCAATGACTCTGGCTAAACTGCCACCAAAACACAAAATAAACTTTGGAGTGAGGACTTTGGAAGAAGCATGAATTTAGACACAGAAGGATGTTTTCTTTGTGCAAGTCTTAAGAACATTTTAGTAGTAACAATTGTTTTGGGATTCAGCAATTTTACTAATTGCAATTAAAATATTGTTTTTATACAAGGCTATAAACAACTAATATATAACTTAAAATTTCAGTGCTTAAGTAAAATAAATTCAGATATCACAATAGAAAACTGATTAATAAGACAGCTTCAATAATTAATACATTGCATATTGTTATCTTCTTAGTGGTTATTCATAGTACAAGATACAGACAGAATGCCCTGTCCAAACACTGTTAGTACAAATCTTTCTTCTCAATGAATTAAGACAAAGTAGCTGTATATCTATATTAACTATTCTGCATATACAGACACAAAATGGCCCTTCCTTTGTATTGCTTTTATTTTTTTTGTTTAGTCCTGTCAGAAATGTGTGTTCCATTGGTATCTAAATACTATAGGTGCGTGAATTCAGCAAAACAATCCAACACAGTCTAGCAGTCCACAACAATAGTGGGTAATCCACAGAAGTTATTCGCTTGAGCCTTTCACAGCTCAGCATATTAATATGGCTTTATTTTATATATCTCATTTTTATACTTTTCTGCTGGATGGTTAAGACCAAGATAAAGCAAGACCTGTATAACAAGAAATGTAAATTTTGTATCTGATAAATTCAGTCAAGTACCCTCAGGATTTTCCCTGAAACCCTATACCACAGTTTGCAGATCCTTTGTCAGTGTCGGCCATGTGGATGAGTCACGGCCATTGCTTGACCAATTTGCTCTCTGTGAAAGCCTGAGAGAATTTTTCTCTCCAGGTGACTGTCTAGCTCTTGGGAGGCTGACCACAGGCTGATCACTATGAGTCTTATGAGTCTAATATATGTAGTGAGACCATATAGACCCTGTAG